CATAGACCGGGTGGATACAGGTAAGATGGTTCCCTTGGTGGGGTAATCTAGAACTAAGGTCACTATTTAAAAATTAGGGGTTGCCACTTTGGTCTGAGATGAAGAGAAACTTTTTTACTCAAAGGGTAATGAATCTTCGGAATTTTCTACCACAGAGGGCTATGGAAGCTCAGTCTTCGAGTATGTTTAGGGGAAAGATTGATAGATCTCTGATTACCAGTGGTGCATAGGGTTATGCAGATGGAGTGGATAAAACTGTTGAAGTGTTCAACAAACCATGATTGTATTGAATGATGGTGCAGGTTTGACAAGCTGATTGGCCTACTCCTGTTCCTATGTGTAAATGCTATGATGTGTGTTAAGTGTTGGACATGCCATGTGTCCAATGTTCCCTTTAAGTTGTACTCCAAAGTTCTGTGCGTGGCGTTTGGCATTGGCATGCAAATTTTAGCACTGACTTCCAGTTCTGAAGTTGCTGGTGTGCACAGATCTCAGAGGCCCATGCAACTGGACAGAAAATTAAAAAGAATGCTGCATGAGTCCCAGATATACACATTTGAAGGAAGTGTCAATGGCTACACAAGCTTGAACTTTGCATTTCAAAACTTGAGCCATGGCTGGAGTTCTAAGTCTATTTAAAGTAGAGATTGATAATTTTTTGATTATCAATGGCGTTATGGGATAGTGTGGATAAAAGGTATTAAAATGTTCAATCAGCCATGTATATATTAAATGATGGAGCAGGTTTGACAGGCTGAATGGTCTACTCCTGTTCTTATAATCTTATGAAGATATTACTAGCATAGGTAATAAGCAGTTGATCTTCTTACTGAACACCCCTCGGCTGATTTGAAGATTAGACTTGCATATTGATATTGCAAAGCCTGAAAATTCCTCTAGTTGTTATGTGGAACAACATCATACAAGCATCTATTGAGACTTTCCTGTTCAGTAATTGTACGATATATTGATGATTTCAAGCATAAATCTTCAAAGTTCACTTAAAGTGTTACCACATATAATGGAGAAGGAGGAAGAGGAAGAGGTATTATAGCACAGTATATGGCATCCTTGCTTCTTAACCAAAGAAGTTCCAGATTCTAGTACTCCAGGACTTGAGGACCAAGGAGGGTAAGTTTACAGCATGGCCAAACAGGTTGAGGGTCAACTTGTAAATCCTTCCAATATACTGTAATGGCTGATGATTAAATCAGAAGAGTTTCTTGATCAGCCATGGGACAGAAAGGAATTGCAGCTTTTACCATTACTAGTGATAGCTATGGGACAGAAAACACATGCAACAGTGTATATTGTCATTGGAATTCAGACTTTAAAGGGTGACCTTAATTGGCCTAATGGCCAATGTGGATTAGATTGGTGCCGGGAGCACAGAGTTTGACTTCTGTTGGTTGGAGTGTGTTCAGGACATGTCTGCTTTCCTTATCCCTTGTGCAGATTGCTGTGCATTGGATTGTGCTTAGGCAAAGACCTGAAGAGAAAGCATGCAGATGAAATTGTATTCCATTAGCAACAAGTTGAAAAGACCCTAAGGGTTTTTAATGGTTGAACCTAGTGTCATACAGTTATACAGCACAGAAGCAGACACTTTGGTCCAACCAGTCCATGCCGATTATAATCCCACATTAAACCAGTCCCATCTGTATGCTCCTGGCCCATATCCCTCCAAACCTTTCCTATTTATGTACTCATCTAAC